CTTTCTTTTACTTAGCCCCGACAATTATTGACCGATGTATTATTATTAATACTTTATATTACTTAACAATGACTTATATACAAAGCAATAATGTATTTGCTCCAATACACGAATATTGCATCAAAAAAAAAAAAAAAAGGTTCAAGACTTTTTCCATACCAGGATGATAGAATGGTTTTCGAGTTCCGCAAAGTCTGGCAAGTGTAACATTCCATCCAGACACAGTACAGCGTGTATTTTACGAAAATATTCGTGACGTGATCTTTATGGTGAACATGCTTTCTCAAACTCAGGACAGCGCAAATAGTTCACTCAATTCCGCTCTGTAAATGAAATGCGGAGAACGCGCAGCGTTCTGCACGAATAATCGTTTGCAAGTTCTATGGTTTCGTCAAAAAAAGCTTGATCCACACCGACACAGTGTATCTTGTGATAATGCTGCGAAACTGGACATTAAAGATACATTATAAAAAGACAAAGACAGATCACAGAGCATATGAAGCAAAAGTGAAAAATTTAATGAATCGAATTTTCATCTGCGACTAGCTGTTGAAATGAAAAGACCTTCGATTGATTGATGGCATATGAATCAATGCACGACAATGCGAAAACAATCATATGCTGTGACGTGCATTTACGTGGCCAACTGATTGATTTCAATATCCATTGTTAATAACGGTGCAGCGTAACTGAGATAAAGGGTCCAATACGAAAGGCACGATCTTCCCCCTGGCGAAAAATGGGGAAATTTTGTTTGGGAATTTTTAATGCACCCACCATACAGCCAGGCTCGAGCCCCGGCCGAGTACCGTTTGTTTCAATTAATACAATTTTCCGTCAGCAAATGCCAGAATATGTGATTGAATTTTGGTAAAAAGATGCGACAGAACTTTTCATTTTCCCTAATACAATGTGAAAGTATATTATAATAATAGGCTATGGTTACACCTTTAGTAACTGTAAACTTTTTTATATTAACACAATTTTATATTTGTACCGTTTTCGTTTGAATTGTGTCTCATAAATACTTGATAAATATATAGAGAAATTTTAGTTTCTTCTCTATTCTATAATATTGTATAAATAGATATCACGCACATATATACATAAACAATGAATATCTGTTTATATGAAAATATTCAAAAAAAAACAAAAAAAAAAAGGCACGAATGAAGAAAAAAATTTATCGATTTAATTAACATAACACTTTGCTTATTTCATGATAAATGAATGACCTTGACTTGTATTAATGAATTTTAAGAAAAATATATTTTAAAGAAAAACTGTATAAATGTAACGTTTTATATCGGAAAGTATTTAATGCATATCGATAGCGTTGGAATACGAAAAGTAAAACAATTACGAAAATTGCTTAGGTGTCTTAATGATCCATAGCTGTTTTTATCTTGTTAAGCTTCAGCATTTGTTCTATGCCCGACTTTTACGACTTAAAAAATTTGCGCATACACGCACAGACATACAGGTCGCATTAATTCTAAATTTACATACGCTATTGCCGATCGCCGATGCATATTTCTAGATGCTGCCAATAGATAATACCTGATAACGTTTCCTAGATATGTTTATCAATATGTAGTCGATCGTTGTCATGCCTAACTTTATTAATCGTCTTATTTGCTTTTAATCGTCGTTGATACATTTTTGTGTGTGTATCTGGGTCGGTCATAATATCGCATATCTACCTTTTAGCGCTAAAAAGCGATGCCATAAAAACTTAGCCTCGCTATCGATGTTAATCGCTCGTCGGTCCTACGACATGATTTTTCATCAAAGGTCAGAATTGAACAGTTACTCTTTGAATTTAACAAGAAAATATGTATAAGTAGACGAATGTAAGAAGAAACTATGTATAAGCAGACGTATGTAACAAGGTTACAATGGCATACCGATAGGACTCGTAAACCTACTACTATCTCTTTCTGTGCCAGGAATAGTTATTAGCTTATGATTGTCGAAGACGAGATGTGGTAGGTGATGACATTATTAGTTAACACTATTAGTCGCAACGATATGTTCACACTATTATTTGAAATGCTGACTTCGATGGGGCGTATATACGTATATACGCTAAATAGATTATAGTTCCCTACATTGACAATTAACTTCCCCCCGAACAAGGTGTGACTAGGAAAAATTGGATAATTGAAAAATGCAGTTAACCTCGCAAGTAAGCTAATGATGCAAATCTTTGCAGAAAGCATGTTAGCTCTCACTTTGTAACCATGTCCATGGCCAACGAAACGTCATAATAGTAACTCTAGAGCATAATGTACTCATAACGTTCTAAAAGTTGAGAAACATTTGCACGGTCTTCCTTCTTCTTTTTTCAAGTCCGGAGTTAGAAAATAATCCGTAAGACTTAAATCTATCGCATCGAATAAGTGAGAGTACAATTCGATTAACATTCTTTGATTTTGACCGTACAGTGAACCAACAGTGAACGAGTGAACTTCGTTTTCACCAAGTGCGGCCATTTCCTCCTGATATCGTCGTTCAAATGTTGTTATAAGTTTCTTTTTCGTTGTCAAGTGATCGCTGAGGTGTATTGAAATCCGCTTTATATTGTTAACCCGAACTGGTTCATTCGCACGATTCGGTTCGCTGAAGTACAGGGGCCGCGTGAATTAAAAAACTTGTCTTAAATCAATTTGCATTACACTACTACAACGGCTTTTTATTCAGTATAAGTTTCGCTTCTCTTCTTAATATTCATTATAAAAACGTATTCCTTCAGTCATTGGAACGTGCGAAAAATCGATATTCTCAAGTTCACCTATAGATCAGTAATACCTGTACTAGGGCAGTATTTGTGGCAACAAAGACTGAGATTAATATATATTTCAAACTATATATGCCTTACTTCGTAGGAGAAATTTTTGCGATCCTTTGGAGGCACTTGGCTGTAATAAGTAAAGAACGAATTTCGCAATTAGTAAGAAATTTGAAATTTTCTTTGAGCGACATTTTGATTATCATCAATTCAAAGAATCTTTTGTTATAATTATGGGTATTAGCGAAAGCGGTTAAGACAGATCATCTGTGAATAATATCACATCTCGGATACCAGTTATTACTCATTGCTCATGCTATAGAATTTTGTCGTATTCCAGTTTACTTTGTCGATTTTTATGACTTTGAGAATACATATATTAGATAAATGCCTCTGAGGGCATAATTTACTCCTCAGTCGCAAGGTTGTAACATCTAAACTGCGTGGGAAATCTCTGTTCCGCTCGAAAAATTATCATCTACCTTCACGTGGCGAAGGCCTACGACGCGTTATAGTTATTCAACTTCGGTTCTTGAGTTAACGCAATTCTATACTCAAGCGGTTTCACGTCGTTGCCTAATTCTTCTGGATTACCGCATGGCCAAGTAATTAAGAATAAAGCCAGCATAGGTGAATTGAAGTCTCCGAGTGGTTGGCCATATTTTAACTACGATCGGCGCGTGGTCGCCTGTTATAGCGAGCACTCAACAACAGCAACAATTACCGATCGAGCATACACCGTCTATCTATCTTTCGTTCTCTCTCTCTTCACTTGGTCCCCTTATTACACGTTTTGAGGACATTCCCTGGACATATATATATATATACTTATATATATATATATATACTTATATATATATATATGTTTATATACATATGAAGAAGACGAATTACAGTCGATGAATTCGCATAGTTCATAAGAGCTTTGGCATACAGTTGCAGAATTCATTAGCCTTTGTTTGTTATTACAATGCAAGTATTGATGCATTTATACGCGCATTTGAATTTTTTGTCGAGCCACTTAATTGTAAATAACGTCGATAACGTATCGAATCGAAGCAGAATTTTGATTTAAAAAAAAAACAAAAAACTTGCAAAAGATTATAGCGACTTACTCTGCCGCATGTATAAGCGGTAGACTTTGACGGATTGACGGCGCTGAATGAACTTTAAAGAAATATTACGACATAACTAAAATACAAAAAAAAAAGAAAAAAGAATAAATAAATAAATGAAAAAACGTACCACTGTTTACACTCAAACTCATACGTTCCCACACAGTGTGTCCCCGCCTGATATTATTGTATATATCATGGCATGGTTATTGTACACATCCTATATTGATCGTTTCTTATCCCACCTATTTGTTATTTCCTTTTCACATGCTTGCCATATGCTTTACATTGTTTAACTTTGTTAGCAGTTATCAGAATAATTGTGGGAGCAAAGAATTTTAAATTTATATATACATATATATATATATATATATATATATAAATATGTTATATGTATATGTGA